CTATAGTCCCTAAACCCCTTTACAGCATTGGGGGTTGAATAATTTTGGACACAACTGTATCTGGAGATTTTTGGTTTAGATTTACCAAAAACCATATAATAGGAGGACAAACCTAAACAACACTTTCAGTTGTATCCAATTAGGCAGGCCCTTGCACTACACAGTTGAAGGTAAATCTAAAGGAAATTGGGCAGAATAATTGCCCAATTGGGCAGAAAATTGGAAGATAATTGTATAATGTATGGCCAGCCTTAAAGAAGAAGGTACAGGTCAGTGAGAGCCAGAAATATTGCTTGTTTGTAGGTGACCAAATACTTATTTTCCACTATAATTGGCAAATAAATTCTTTCCAAATCAGCCAATGTGATTGTCTGGATTTGTTTTCTCATTTTGTCTCTCATAGTTGAGGTCTACCTATGATGCCAATTACAGGCCTCTCTCATCTTTTTAAGTGGGAGAACTTGCACAATTGGGTACTGACTAAATTCTTTTTTGCCCCACTATATGTGCAGTATGGCAGAAAAAGTGTAATTTGGACTATGACACTTAGGAGTCTATTTATAAAAGTTATCCAAGATTCACGCATTTTTCTAATTGAATTTAGGTGGAAAAATGTATGAATCCTGGTTGAAAGTTGTTTGAAAACATTGATAAATAGACCCTTTAGTGAGGTGTGAATAGGTATAGTAAAGCACAGACTAATTAAGCACTTTGCAGGATGTTGGGCCATCTTATAATACATGACCTCAGGCATCCTTTGAAGTCATCTCTAGCCAAACCTTGAGCTTGTGCTCTTCTTTTACTCCAAAGAGTTGTTGGTCGGGTCATTCCCGTCCTGCAGTGCCTCGCCTACAGAAGAAGAGGTTTTCTATCGCAGTTATCATGAATGCTGCTGCCAGACTCATCCACCTTACTAACCGTTCTGTATCTGCCACCCCTCTCTGCCAATCCCTCCACTGGCTTCCCATTGCCCAACGGATAAAATTCAAAACATTAACAATAACGTATAAAGGCATTTATAACTCTGCTCCAAATTACATAACCGATCATGTCTCCAAATATCACCCAAACCGTACTCTCCGCTCCTCGCAAGACCTCCTACTCTCTAGCTCCCTTGTCTCCTCCTCCCATGCTCGTCTCCAGGACTTCTCCAGAGCTTCCCCCATCCTCTGGAACTCTCTACCCCAATTTATCAGACTATCGCCTACTCTGCTCACTTTTAGGCGATCTCTGAAAACCTATCTTTTCAGGGAAGCCTATCCTGCCCTCAGCTAATAATGGAATCTTCTACTCTTCCAACCAGTCCATCCCCCACAGTTACTACCTTTTTGTACCACTAGCCCCTCCCTCCTAGATTGTAAGCTCCAAGGAACAGGGCCCTCCTATCCCTCTTGTATTGAACTGTATTGTTGCTGTATTGTCTCCCGTTATATTGTAAAGCGCTGAGCAAACTGTTGGCGCTATATAAATCCTGTATAATAATAATAATAAATATTTACTGTCATCTTCTGGCACTCTTATTCCAGATTTCCCTGCACACTAGTGTATTTTTTAAGCTCCTACAGTGCCTTGAAATGTAATCATACCCCTTGAAATTTTCCACATCTTGTCATGTTACAACCAAAAATGTAAATATATTTTATTGCGACTTTATGTGGTAGGAAAACGCAAAGTGGCACATTAATGTGAATTGGAAGGAAAATGATAAATGGTTTTCAAAATCTTTTACAAATATGTGAAAAGTGGGGTGTGAATTTGTATTCAGCCTCTCTGAGTCAATACTTTGAGAACCCCCCTTTCGCTGCAGTTACAGCTGCAAGTCTTTTTGGGGATGTCTCTACCAGCTTTGCACATCTAGAGAGTTAAATTTTTGCCCATTCTTCTTTGCAAAATAGCTTAAGTTTTGTAAGATTGGATGGAGAGCTCCTTTGAGCAGCAATTTTCAAGTATTGTCACAGATTCTCAATTGGATTTAGCTCTGGACTTTGACTGGGCAATTCTAACACAGAATATGCTTTGATCTAAACCATTCCATTGTACTGTTTACTGTATGTTTAGGGTTGTTGTCCTGCTGGAATGAATCCTCCTCCCCATTCTCAAGTCTTTTCTAGACTCTAACAGGTTTTCTTCTAAGATTGCCCTGTATTTGGCTCCATCCAACTTCCCGTCAACTCTGACCAGCTTCCCTGTCCCAGCATCCCCACAACATGATGCAATCACCACATTTCACAGTGGGGTGGTATGTTCAGGATGATGTGCAGTGTTAGTTTTTTCGCCACACATAGCATTTTGCTTTTAGGCCAAAAGGTTCAATTTTGGTCTCATCTGACCAGAGCACCTTCTTCCACGTTTGCTGTGTCCCCCACATGGCTTTCTTCTAGCTACTCTTCCATAAAGGCCAGATTTGTGGAGTGCACGACTAATAGTTGTCCTGTGGACAGATACTCCCACCTGAGCTGTTGATCTCTGTAGTTCCTCCAGAGTTACCTCTTGGATGCCTCGCTGATTAATTTTCTCCTTGTCAGTTTAGGTGGATGGCTATGTCTTGGTAGGTTTTCAGTTGTGCCATACTCTTTCCATTTTTGGATGATGGATTGAACAGTCCTCCGTGAGATGTTCAAAGCTTGGGATATTTTTTTTTTACCCTAACCCTGCTTTAAAGTTCTCCACAACTTTATCCCTGACCTGACTGGTGTGTTCCCTGGCCTTCATGATGCGGTTTGTTCACTAATGTTCTCTAACAAACCTCTGAGGGCTTCACAGAACAGCTGTATTTATATTGAGATTACAATACACACAGGTGGACTCTATTTACTAATTAGGTAGCTTCTGAAGGCAATTGGTTCCGCTAGATTTTAGTTAAGGGTATCAGAGTAAAAGGAGCTGAATACAAATGCACAACACACTTTTCAGATATTTGTTTGTAAAAAAAAATTGAACACCATTTATCATTTTTCTTCCACTTCACAATTATCTGCCACTTTGTGTTGGTCTATCACATAAAATCCCAATAAAATACATTTACGTTTTTGGTTGTAACATTACAAAATGTGGAAAATTTCAAGGGGTATGAATACTTTTTCAAGGCATTTTATACTAAATATATTGGTGTGAATGTACCTCTATTTGTACCCCCTACTACCCACTACAGCCTTATAAGGGTTAATGCACACTGGCCTAAAACACACGGCTTCTGAAGGAGTTTTGTGTTTTGCCTGTAGAAGCAGCTCAATGTTATCCTGTGTCCATGTATATTAGGATGTTTAGAGGCATATTATAAGCTCAGCGTTTAGTGGCAGAAAGAAAAAGCCTTCTCCTTTGTGTGGTTGATTTGAAGTTTTTTGGCAAAAAAAAAATTCCAAACACTCCTAAATCTGCCTAAACATGTGTATAAAAAACACTATATGAGCTTTTTTTTTCTGCCAAGGGAACTGGCATTCTTTAAAGCCCAGTGTGCATAGAGCCTTAAAATGTTGTGGTTTAGTATGCATATTTAACACATTTTTAAAGCAGGAAAATGCACAAAAAACACTTGCAGAAAAAATGCAAAAAAGTGAATTAAGTCCCAGTAAACGTTAAATATGCATGCTACAACACAGCATTTAAATAGTGCGAATCCAGCGTTACTGAAATTAATATTGAGAACACTGGAATTCTTAGGTTAGGGGTAATCAATTGCTTCTTAGGAATCTAAACGTGTCTGCAGTCACATAATTTGCAGTGCTCTGAAATCAATATGCTACTAATATATTTAAAGCAATATTAAACCCCAACAGAAATGTATTATATCACAGGTTACAATGTTTAGATGTGGTGTCTGCATTAGTTTTCTTTTTTAAGCTTTTTCCCCTCTGTTTTCACCTGGTGATCTGGCCAGTAACACACTTGTATTAGAGTGCCCCCACTCTGGATGAAGGAGCAACAGAGACAACTTTGGACAGCAGCATTGTTAATCTGGGGGGAGGGTAGTGTTAGATGTACTAGCAGATTTAGATACACTAATAAGTCAAACTCCAGATCACACTTTTTAAACTGGAATTCCAATCCATAGCTAACTAATGATAAACCTACTCCCCCCCATTGTAAAGATATTCCATCTAACCCTGTAAAAAAAAGTTCTGTATACTTACCTATTCTGAAGCCGCTCAGTTCCGGTCTCCAAGGTTTATCTCAACACTCTCACTGTTACATCTACAGGACAGCTTGTTCCGTTGAATAACAATAGACTTCCTGGCCAGATCACCAGGTGACAATAAAGGAAAGAAAGCCCAAAAAAGAAAATTAGTACCGCCATAACATCTAAGAATTGATCAGGTGCAATATAATGTTTGCTTTTAAAGCGGTAGTAAACTGCGTTTTTGGTTGTAACATGACAAAATGAGGAAAATTTCAAGTGGTATAAAAACTTTTTCAAGGCACTGTAGAAGCTATTATGAGCATTTATTTTTCTGCTCCTAGAAGCTAACAGTGTTCTCATGTGTCCATGCACACTATATTATACTAAAAGCATTTTTCAAAGCTTCAACGTTTAGAAGCAGAAAAAGAAATTGTTTTTGTAGAGTTTTTGGGAACGTTTTCCTGGTGGAAAGAAATGCTAAACACTCTTAACAGCTTTTTTTGAGCGTTTTATTTTTTCTTCATGTACTCTAAAAATGCCAACACTCCTACAAACTGTTAAATGCTTCTAAAATGAAACTACAAGCCGGCATACTATCGCTATTAGCATTTTTCATCCAGCGTTTTATTTTAGCTTGTAAAAAGCGCTAGTGTGCATGGAGCCTAAGTAATCATTATGGTTACAAAGACATCCAGTTTTCCTATAGCTCTTTGGGCCAATGAGTTATTAGTTATGGTTCCACTTATGTGCTGTTGCATTTTTAAACAAAGTTGTTTCTACATTAGTTTTGCAGAGAGGCTTACTGACAATCAAGATGAACAGCAGAGTCACACCAAATGAGATATTATCTCAGGTCAACCAGTTTTGGAGCTTGTTGGATGATATGGCTGAAAACAGTCCAGACAGTTATCAGAAGTTCATACAGCGACATATGAAAGAAGGAAAAGACTTCATGAAGCCCCCAGAACCATTCATGTGCATACAAACTAAAATATTGGTAAGATAAATAATATACTGTACATCTTTAGAATGGTTGGAAGTGATAGTATCTGTATGATCAGATTGATTTTTGACTGGAGGCACTAAGCAAATCAGAGTTGTTGCTGGCTGTGTACAACCCTATCTCCAGGTGAAAGAAATTTAAGCTTCAGCACTCTATAAAGAGAAAGCTTTAGGGCTCATGCACATGAGCACCAAAAAGGCAGCACTTTCATCGGTACTGTGTTTTTTTTTTCTTTGTTTTTTTAATGGAACGCAGTTCTGTTGTTTTCCGAAGCCTATGCTTTAAGATCAATAAACTTTGAAAAGTAAAGTGTGTGTCCACAGTCAGCAATTTATGCATGTACACAAATGTTTATGTATACAGTGCTGTAAAAAAAGTATTTGCCCCCTTCCTGAGATGTATGTGTGTGTGTTACTTTTTTTTTTTTTGCATACTCTTCACACTTAAATGATTCAGATCATCAAAAATTGTTAATATTACACAAAGATGACCTGAGTAAATACAAAATACAATTTCTAAATGATTTAATTTAATAAGGGAAAAAAGCTGTCCAATCTTGCCTGGCCTTATGTGAAAAAGTAATTGCCCCCTTTCCTTGCTGAATCATGAATGAACTGTAATTAACCACATTTTTTTTTAAAAGCATCACTTGCCACAACCTGGCCTGATTACTGCCAGACCTGTTGAATCAAGAAATCACTTAAATAGAAGCTGACAAAGTGAAGCATATTAAAAGATTTCAAAAAGCAACACATCATGCCACAGTCTAAAGAAATTCAAGAATAAATGAGAAACAAAATAATTGACATGTATCAGTCTGGAAATGGTTACAAAGCCATTTCTAAGGGGCAAATACTTTTACACGGCACTGTATGTATGCATTTATTTATAGGTAAAGTTGATCCAGTGAATATCCAGTTGCCTCTCGGGGGATCAGTCAGGAATTTTTTTTCCCTGCTGGAGCAAATTTAATCATGCTTTATTGTTTTTTTTTTTTGCCTTCCTCTGGATCAATTGTGGGTATAGGATTATGTGTATATATACAATTGTATATAATTTTTTTCCCTACTATTGGTTGAATTGGATGGACTTGTGTCTTTTTTCAACCAGACTAACTATGTAACTACACAACACTATACTGTCAATTGTATGCTTTTTTTTCTCCAGGATCTTTCTGCCAGCATAATCCTGTGTAAATTATCAATACATTAATTACAGAATTGTGCATATGCCCTGAAATTTCACTCTCTTGTAGACATCCACATGCTGCTGCTATCTGAAACTTCTGGGTGTGTCACATAGTGTGACCCCTGCTGTCTGCTGTGGGTCCTCCCACCATCCCCTACATCACTATAGGAGATAGTAGTGACATTGAGGTCGGCAAGAGGACCCACAACAGCCAGCGGGAAGACACAAACCGACACTCCTGTAACTGTTGGATAGTAATGGTGCTTGAAGCTCATCAAGAGAAAGAGAGATTTCAACATACCACCTGCTGGGGAGGTAAGTATAACACTTCTTCTTTTATAGGACATTGTTGCTGTAGTTCTTTCAGGGTTGCTTTAAACACCAACCAACAAAATGGATAATTAATATTCTGTTGTGATTACTGAAAGTGTGTGTATCATAGGCGGGAGATCATAGGACAATACTGCAAGATGTGGGATGAGGGTATAATGTTAGAAGTTACATTTCTTCACCATAGTGTGAAGTGTTTTTTTTATAATTGTCTTTTTATTGAAAATATTTTTGAATTACAATAAAATCGAGAAAATGAACAGTAAATTCAAGAATAGGAGACAATGATCATACAGAACAGTGTTTCAAGTGTACAATGTAGAGTCCATAAGGAAATCAAGTGACAAGAACTGGAAATCGTAGTAGATATGGCACCATGGAGAAATCGTAGGTGAAATTGCAAAATACATCCTATAAAGGCCAAGGCCTAAGAATGAGCCAATCGTCTGGGGAAGCCAGTAAGAAAATACCAGCATAATACAAGAAAAGACTTGAGAGTGGAGCCTAAGAAACACTTGAATGGGTATGACTATGTGCATCAACTAGGCGGATGAGGAGAAAATGTCACAATAAATGTAAAAGAAAGAAAAAAACAACAGAGTTCTAGAGAAAGAATGAAGGGGAAAATAGGGGATAAAGGACTAGTATCCTTGATCACCAATCAAGGCTCCAGCACCATCCGCCTAGAATCCATAATTAGTGGATAACTATATTGAGACATGCTACAGTAGATTAAGGAGGGTCCTCCAAGGCATGCTACACTTTCCACACCTCATTGTATTTATCGAGAGAGTCATTAATGATGGCTGTAAGATGCTCCATCCTTTTGACATCCCTGATCCTGGAGTGAAGCACCATCAGAGGAGGAGGTTCTAGTCTTTTCTAATAGAGGGCAACCAAACACCAGTGTGAAGTATTTTAATGGGGTTTCCAATATACTCTTTTTCCCCTATCTCGCACAGATCTTTTGTAAACAACAAATGTATTCAAAGTTATTTGATACATTTCAAGTTTATGTCAGGGTAATTAAACTAAAAAAACAAAAATAAACAAAGTGGAACTGTGCTGCATTTGAGTACCACAAATCAAAAATGCTATATAATTCATTATTAATATTCAAAACAAACTCCTCCATCCATCCATGTCTCCATGCTTTATTCTACTGAGAAATCATTTTGAAAACCACCCGCTGGCATTTCTGCCAGAGGCCATCTTGAGTAAGGTCAGATGATTCATGTAGCATTTACTTCCTGGACTCTATCTGTTCTTAGCTCAGGCATTGGCTGAGCTGAGAACCCTCCCCTACGGAAGACTCTTGGGATGTATGACATCATTTGCCTAGGCATGAAAAACCAGGAAGTAAATGATGGAATGCAAATTGTTAAAACAAGTAATTTATATACTTTCCTATCTATTTACTAATACTAGCAGCATAAGGATTAGAAATATCCCATGTTGACTGAGGGAGTGTAGTTCCGCTTTAAGCAGTAATTCTATGGGGACTGATTTACTAAAACTGGAGAGTGCAAATCTGGTGCAGCTGTGCATATAAACCAATCAGCTTCCAGTTTATTTGTTAAAGCTTAATTAAACACGCTGAAGTTAGAAGCTGATTGGCTACCATGCACAGCTGCATCAGAGTTTGCACTCTCCAGTTTTAGTAAATCAGCCCCTATGTCCAATATACAGTATATCCCCTAAAAAAATACTGCAAGCACATTCAAAAGGAAGTAGGAACTGAACTAGCGTCACCTGCAAGAGATTTATAAGCTTGATAAAGCTAGTTTTTGCTACAGAGACAGAAACGTCAGTGCTGGGACATGTTCTAAATGGGTATAAGTATGTTTAATGTGTAATATCTGGATATACACTTAAAACAAAGCATTAAAAAATTAAATTAAAGAAAGGACAGTGTTAAAGTGTTACTAAACCCAGGACTCTGCATTCACTATATCTGGTCTCCCGCAGTACACACAACATGGAAGTGCAATTATTTTAGTAAATATAAACTGCTAAATACCTTTTCTCATCAGCAGTTAGAGCAGTCGTGTGACTTCTATCAGTGTTCAGCAGAGCAGTGGTTAAAGCTTGTAAGAGGAGTTTTCATTCTGCTATAGGAGGATGCAGGACCCATGACCTCTGTCTGGACAGTGCTGATTGGCCCTGTGCTGATCACATGCACCCTCCCAAAAAAAAAAAAACCAACTGTAGCAATACACACTTAACTGTGCGTGTGCATGTGGCTACTGGATTCAGTCTGTCTTATCAGGAGATAAGACGTGGACATTTGAACAATAGGGGGGGCAGAGAAGTCAGGATCAAAAGGTCTTTTTACACAATGCAGAGGATTAACCTCTTAGATTCCACAGTGAGTATAACAATCATGCTTTACTGCATATACAGACTGATTTTGCTGTTGTGGGTCTAGTAACACTTTAATATATAAGAAGACCAGAATACGACCTGTTCAGTGTCTAGTAACATATGATTCTGGTAACATTACTTGTTTTGTGTTTTTTTGTATATTTGGAAATGCTGTTTTTTTTAAAAGAAAAGATAAATATATCTTTATTTTTTAGCTTCCAGAAGAGAGGTTGCTATTCATTAATATCTGTGGCTGGAAAAGGGTACCAGCTCCTCAGTCTGACATAGATCCTGTGCCTTTATTAGCTGGGAAATTCGAGGATACATCTGAAGGAAAAGGTGAGTCAGTCCTAAATCTGCATGTGATTGTATAAAGGATTTAATGGTAACAGAATCAAATAAAAAATGTTGTAAACAGAGTTAAAAATCATTTGATACACTATCAGTCAGTGACAGTGCAGTTATAAATTGTTCTCTGCACATCTTTTGAGTTTCAAGCTAAAGCAGTGCTCCTTAACCACTTGCCCTCCTGAGGATTTACCCCCCTTCCATTTGTTGCGTTACGGCACTGCATTACTTTAACTGACAATTGCGCGGTCATGCAACGCTGCACCCAAATGAAATTTACGTTCTTTTTTTCCCATGAATTGAGCTTTCATTTGGTGGTATTTGATCGCCTGTGCGTTTTTTTTTTTTTTTTTTTCGCTATAAGAAAAAAGAATCGACAAATTGGAGGAAAAAACAATATTTTGAACTTTTTGCTATTAAACGTACAGTAAAAAATGAAAAAATCAAATTTCGTCATAAATTTAAGCCAAAATGTATTCTGCTCCATGTCTTTGCTATAAAAAATCCCAATACGTGTAAATTAATTGGTTTACGTGAAAGTTATAGTGTTTACAAATGGCAGTATAGATACTGAGATTTTTTTTTTTCTACTAGTAATGGCGGCGATAAGTGACTTTTAGCAGGACTGTGATGGACATTCTGACATTGGGGGGGGGAACTAACTTGGTGTCAATGACATCCCCAGTGACACAAATACAATGATTAGTGCCACTGTGCTGTAGGGCAGCACAGTGGCTAAGTGGTTAGCGCGTCTGCCTGGCAGTACTAGGGTCATTGGTTCGAATCCCAACCACGGCATCACCTGCCTGGAGTTTGCATGTTCTCCCTGTGCCTGCGTGGGTTTTCTCCAGGTACTCTGGTTTCCTCCCACACTCCAAAGACATGCTGGTAGGTTAATTGGCTCCTGTCTAAATTGTCCCTAGTATGTGTATGTGTATGAATGTGAGTTAGGGACCTTAGATTTTACACCCCTTGAGGGTTAGAGACTGATGTGAATGTACAGCCATCCCGAGCTGACAGAGAGGAAGACTGTTTCTAAACAAAACAGTCTTCCTCCCCATCAGTGATTGTCGGTAATGACCGGGCGCCACTGGGTAATTATCGGCCGGGGACCCGGTAATTGACATCCGTGGCTCACGCGCGCCCCCTACCTAGAAATGTAAAATCACGTGTATATATATAGGTTCCGCCCTGTAGCAGTATTTCTGCTATAGGGCGGTCCTTAAGCGGTTAAAGGTTAAAAACTTTTGTCAAGAATCCTAGATAATGCTTAGCAGTAGTTTTCATTGCCCACCTGCTCACAGTAGTGTGTAATGGGCATCCATTATCCAGCTTGACACGTGATTCTATGATGACCATTACACTCTAAGGCTCCATTCACACGAGGGCTTTTAAAATCGCAAGTGGAATTGGCACGATTCTGCCTGGGATATAAAAACGTGCTGTGAAAATGCGTATTCGCATGTTCAGATGCCATTCATTGAAATGGCACCTAAAAATGCGGGGTGTTTTTGCCATGATTGTGGCGCATTTTTCTGTGCGACAAACCCACCGTGATCACATAAACAAAATAGCGGGATGCAATATATTTTTGGCTATATCAGCTTCTGATCTTCTGGGAAATCTTTTCATAATTTTCTAGAAATTGTGGGAATTTGTGCCCATTCAGCAAAATGAACTTTTGTGAGGGTCAGTAATAATTTTGGATAAGAAGACCTGGCTCACTATTGGCATTTCAATTCATCCCAAAGATATTCAGTAGGGTTGCGGTCAGGATTCAAGGTGAAAGCCGTCCCGAGTTTCTTCACATGAGACATGTCAAACTATGTCTTTATGAATCTGGCTTTGTGCACAGGGACACAATCATACTGGAACAGAAAAGAACCTTGCCCAGAACAGTTGCCTCAAGGTTTGAAGCGCAGACTTGTCTAAAACGTATTTGTATGCTGTAGCATTAGCAGTGTCCCTACTGGAAGCACTTAACAAATTGAAGTAGTATCTACATACCATTGGCCATATAGTGTATGTCGATAGAGAGTAGACCTCTGACCACATGGTTTCTGAGTCCAAAGCAATGGTTGTTTTTAATCACCTACTGAAACCAGCCAGTTCATGCACTGAGAAAAAAGTTTTTATAATGCAGCTTAACAACTCACTGGGGGGCAGATGCCTTCACTACAAATAATGCCTGATCTGCATTAGAACTATGTTGGCTGAGTGTTAAGACTAAGCGTAGTTGGATGCTAGATCTGGTGTTTGGTAAAGATTTGGCTGACAGCTTACTAGCATAACCTGAATTGTTAGGTTTGTGTATGAAAAATTTTTAGCCTATTTTTTGGTGTTCAAAGCAAAAAGCCAATTACTAACTATAATTCTAACAAGGCAAGATATGGCTAATCTGATAACTAGTTGCCAACAAAAGCATTTTCTGTGTTTGGCATTTTTATAATAAAATGAGTGAGGATTGGGTTTTAAATTCAAACAGTTTTTTTAACAGTACTGATACAGAAAACTTTTCTATTGTTTTTTTTGTGTGTGTTAGTTATTGACATTGCATACAGCCCAGTGGTATTGAAGGAAGCAGAGAGCGATCGAGTGGAACAGGATCAGCTCATCCGCTTGGCAATTAAATACATTGAACAGCAACACAAAATCACCCTCTGCCATTCTTACCATATTGCACCATTCAGACAAAAGGGTAATTTACAGATGCTGAAGAACAATTTAGATGGTCAGCAGAAAAAGACAAAAAAGACAAACGCAAAATCAGAAAAGGGTAAGTTCAGTTATACATTCTACAGATTTTTTTTTTTCTCTCATGCAAATAAAAAAATCTATGTAGCCTGGAAAGGAGAATATAAACTTACAATGTGGTCTATTTAATATTCTCATTTTTAGAATAAAGTAAGACAGTTGATGTCTTATAATGCCATATGAATCAGAATTGTGCATTATAACAATAGAACTCTAAAGCTACTTACAGACAATAGATGGCTGTCAAATATACAGGTGTGTCCAGTTGCCATAGGATCCTTTAATATGAAAACAACTTTCCTACAAATATGCATGCTTGGATTGCCTAATTGTGCATACTTACACCTGGGGTGGATGGACAGGAAAACACTGTTTTATATATTCCTATTGTCAATCTACATCTGAAAAAAAAAAAAAAGGGAGGAAGAAAAGCAATGGCAAAAACGCTGAGAAAAAAAATTGGAATGATTGTGTCTGAAAAGGTTTTTATATACACATGATCATTGCCTAACCTGATTTCATCATCACTCACACAACAATTCAAATTCTTTATTTTGAAAAAACACTAATTATTTTTGTCACTAATGACTGAAAAAATATCCCACAGAAACTGAATTGATCCTCAGAATATTTTAGCTAAAATTTGCACAGAATAACTATTTAACTATTTTAAGTGGTTCTACTGGCAGAAAGTTTTTCTTTCTTTAACTGAATGTATCAATGTGTTTTTTGGGGTTGTTTTTGGCTATTCTATGCATTAATGTAAAAAAACCTTCTGCATGGGTCTCCCCCATCCTCCTCTTATACTTATCTGAGCCTGATCTCGATTCAGCATTGGAGCATGAGAGCAGAGGCTGTCTGGGCTCCTAGCCTCTTCATTGGTTCAGAGACAGCTGCGGCATTGGCTCCCATTGCTGTCAATCACAAGCAGTGAGGAGAGAGCAAAGGACGGGGCTGAGCCACGTTCTGCGATACGGGGCACACAGAGCGCGGCTTTGGAGCAAGCATGCACTAGTGTCCCTTTATCAAATGGCTTGCTATGAGGGCACCCGGTAGGGGGGAGGGGCCAGGTGCACTGGTGGGGGACCTCAGAAGAGGAGAATTGGAGCTGTGCAAAACCATTGGACAGAGCAGGTAAACATGACCTTTTTAAAAAAAAATTAAATCGATCCTTTACAATGACTTTAAGTATAACATTGTAGAAAGAAAGCTTCAGATATATAACGAATTTAGATGAATGTTGTGTACAAATCTATACATTTCAGTTGTGTATTTTTTTCTTTCTTTTTTATCTTTGCTCTTTATACATGCCCCCCAAATGAAAAAAATATCCAACAAAACAGGTCCATAATAGTTATCTGCGCAATGGAAAGTTTAGTAAACCAATATGAGACATAAACGGTTTGTACCTCTCTATGTGATGCATTTTGCATAAAGAGGTGCTTACTCATAAAGTTAATGTTAATTCAGCCACCATCGCCCAGAGAGAGAGGAAACCTCGAACCCACATTCAGTCATGCAGGAGCTGTTATCTCACATATCTCAGGTAAAAGCAGCATAAACATCCAAAAGACAGAGAAGCATAAACATAACCGCTTAATGTGGCTACTATGAACACGATTCAGAGAAGCTGACAAATATATAGCTCACATTGTCATCCAGTAACCAAATGAAGGTAAAATAACAGTAAAAATTACAAACAAAACCTTACTCCATAAAGAATATGTAGTGGCCTGTAGTGGCCAAATAGACTCGGTGCAGGGTATATGAGTCTACGGAAAATAAAAGAATGTGGAAAAATTAAAGTGGTTCTTAAGTCACTTTTTGAAAAATAAAAACTGTATCTGCTGACTTTTAGTTACATTCACCTGTCCCAGGACTCAGTGCTGTCATTACCTGAGCCACGCTACGCTATCTGAATGGTCCCGCAGCTTCCTGGGACCTGTGACGTGTCCCAGAAGGCTGCGGGGGAAGGAGGGGCAGAACTATTGCTCGGATCGCCAAAGCGATGTGCCAAATGTGAAAGGGTGGAAGAACGTTCTATTTTGGGTGAAAATTATCATTAGATACAAACAAAAAATGCACATTTCCTACTCACAATGGGGCTCTGAGGAGGGAGACAAGGAGAGCTAATTAATCATAACAAGAAGAAAAAAAATCCTATTTGGAATTCAAACCAAATGATTCAAGGTTTTCATCATAAAAGTCCAATATACCTCCTCCCCTTACAAAGCCTTACAAACTGTCCTCCTTTCAATGCCCTGCTCTAGTAATAAACTCATGTGTGATTCATGATTTCGCACAACACATTTAGCAACATTAGTAATTCAAATACAATTAACCTGAAAGTTGGAGCTTGGCTGCATTCTTTGCATTATTTTGCGAGTGATCGCTGCTGAGGTGGATGCAAAAACCAGTCCTGATGGCAACTGTGATTTTACTTTACTAAAAAGGTATAATAGGTGAGCACACAAAATAAACCAAATAAGCTGCTGGCATAAAGGATGAACCCCTGTATCCTCAAATAAACCGTAAACAAATATGCAGCGCTATATATAAGAAAGTGACATGTGCATAGAGGCACAAAAATTACTGCACAAATATCCGTGAAGACAAGAAATTTCGTCAGCTAAGTGACAAGTGAAAATGTGAATGGATGAGTCAAAAACAATTATAGATACATTAGTGAAATGAATAACCAATGATCAATTGTAATGTCCAAAACATAGAACAATATGACACTCAAAAATATCTTTGTAAATTTGTAGTCCAGTAAATTTGGTAATGGATGAACTGATAAAGTGAATAATATGTGGTGATCAAAATATAGGATGCTCCAGTATTAGGTAGCAATCTAACATATTCAAATATAAAGAGTCCAATAAAGATGGTAAATAAGACTTCTGTACACGTGACTTCTTGTGGTATAAAATGAGGTGTGCTTGTGCAAGTTAAATGCGCATATAATAATATCTGGGGAGAACACTGGTGGTCATCTGGGATCTGGTCAGGGACAGGGGGCTCCACTGGTACACACACACACACAGGATAAGCACTCCAGACCTCATAACCGGACCCTTACAGCATACAGGGACAGCTCCTTCCATGCGTTTCCACCAAAGGAAACCGACTGCCAAAATGGTATTACTCCACCTTGGTTGTTCATTTCACTAATGTATCTATAATTGTTTTTTGACTCATCCATTCACATTTGCACTCGTCACTTAGCTGACAATATTTCTTGTTTTCATGGATATTTGCGCAGTCATTTTTGCGCCTCTATGCTCATGTGATTTACTTTACGCTGATTTAATATCCCCAAATGGAGAAACCCACAGTCATGCACACACGTCAGGGCTCTTTTGAGTGGTAACTAGTCAACTTATCAGAATGTTTTTGGGTTGTCAAAGGTCATTGGAGCAACTAGAGGAAACCCACATAAGCAAAGGGAGAAAAAAGGACACTCATGATTACAATGTGTTCTGAACTGTTTCATCTTTCATCTTTGTACAAACAGTGGACTAAAACGGATTGTAAAACATTCCGGCATCTAAACACTTTTCATTGTTGGTTGTACAAGCATATCAGGCACAGAACATCAGTAAAAAGCTCTGTTACTGATCTGCAGGTGCACGAGGCATGGGGTGTCTGTTAGTTTCTATAAAAAGTGCATGTCACTGCCTCCTTGCTAAACAATTAATATTTTCTTAAAAAAAAAAAAAAAGAACAAACCTCCCATCCCCCTTTTGACATAGTCTTGTCTAATATATTTACTGGAGGAAAATTAGATTATGCTTTGTGTGCATTAACTTTTTTTTTTTTTTTTTTTTTTTTTTACTTAAAATATAGATTTGCATTATAGATAAAAAAAATAATCAAAATTGTATTCTTTAAATTGCCTGATTTAAAATATATTAGAGTGTGAAAAATGGGAAAATTGTTGGGGCAGAAAAAGAATTATTTTTTGTGTATCTGAACTGTTGTGGAATGCTCTCCAGACAGTTCGCAAGTATTGCAAATCCGAGAACAATGTGACAAATCCATTTCTATAAAAAGCATACTGTATGTCTTGTATGTTGAGCAGGCAGGTGATGTACTCTGCACCTATCCAAACAGATGTACTTATTCACCTCTGAATCATGATATCACACACAGACATCAAACGGATAGACGGTAACTGATTAATATCAGTATTAAATGTGTGGGAAAATATTCTGTGTATGATTTTTTTTTTTTTTTTTTTTTTTTTTTTTAGCTCCTAATATATCATTACGGAACAGTTAAAAAACATTTCAATGAAAGAAGAAGAAAAAGAAGAACCGAGTCCACGCATCCAAATAATGAAGGAGAGTGATCCCAGGCCTGTGAAAGCAGGTCTGATAGAGGTGATCTCCAGTACAGAGCTGAATGAGGAAGATCTGCTCACAACTCCCCAACATGAATTGTCTGTTGTTAACAACCTGTCCGGAAAACCACAGAAAATAATCCTGAGAGCTGTACTACATGGAGTTCGCTCTGTTTCTGAATGTGATCTAAGTGTATCTAAGGTAACAGGAGAAACACTAATACAAATTAAAAACCATCTGCATACACTTAAAAGTCCACCTTCGGGAACATGTTACATGTTCCACCCATTTTTAGGGTGGAACATGTAGCATGTTCCTGCTCATGCAGTGGCTCTGTGATCCAAGCCCTCTGTATGACAGCAGTATAGGGGAGAAGTTCCCCGTACCAGCTGTCACTTTTTAAAAAACACGGCCGCGTCATTCATTCAGAGTTCTGTGAATGAATCAACTACAAGTACTGATATCCTTTGTGGATGTCGGCTTATAGTTCTCAATGAATTACCACAGAGCTGTTGAGCGCTATGCTAGCTCATTGATTCTTCCTGTCAGTCAGAAACTGCCTGCATGTACAATGTATGGGCAGACAATGTATGGGCAGACAGTCTGCAGACAGTCTGGCATGGGACAAGCGATCTGCCGATTGCTGGTGCAATGCTTTCCAGACTCCAAAAAAAAAAAATAGTAAATGCACATTTTCTTACCTGCAAAGAAATGTGCATTTAAAATTTTTTGTAAAAGGTAAACTTATCTTCTAAAGTGGAAGAAACGCCTAAGCCTAACTATTCGCCTCATTGGGAGATCAAGGACATTTTCCCCCTCTGGAGCAAATTGGATCATTTTTTATTGGGGTTTTTCAGGACTGTGTATACGGAGGTTTTCTATTTGAGTGTGTGTGTTTTTTGTTTACTGGTTGAGCTGGATAGACCAGTGTATTTTTTTCAAGCTATTTTTGTGACTATATTCTTTAAGATGTTCCCTACCCCCTCCTCCTACCTATCCTGCCTAACTAATGAAAAAAACTAATGTTTGTACACCTCCCTTTTTTTTAATCTGCTCCAGTCCGGTCACTTGATCCCGCAGCTCCAACTCTCGTGTGTCAGTGAGTGGCTGCTGCAGGGGAGAGGAGGGAGCTCCAAGAACAGCTGGACCATGAGAGCCTAGATGTGACTTCAAGACACTCATGAGGTCATGTGACCGGAGCAGATTAAAAATAGAGAAGTATACACATAGTTTTTATACTCACGTTTGTCAATACACTTTTACTTTTAAATTGGAGTAACTTTCAGTTCACACAAAGTACTACTCCAAGGAAGCAGCTAGAAAAACAAGTAATATTAAAGGAAAAAAAAAACATTTTTCAGATATGCTTTGTTATTGGGAAAGCATAACAAACATATAGTGGGGTTTTCTGAAATTTCACTGCAAAAGTAGACCTACACTTTAACCGTTTGCCCACCGCCCTATAGTAGAACTACTGCTACAGGATGGCAGGGCTGTGCAAAATCACACACATGCATATATATATATAGATGTGATTTGCACTTCTGGGTAGGGAGCATGCGCTAGGCATGTCAATCACCGGGTCCCAGACGGATATTCCCCGCCGGCACCCAGCAATCGTCGGAGAAAGCTGACAGGGGAGAGCTCTGTGTGTTAACAACACAAGTCTATCTCCTGCCAGCAAGGGCATGCTGCTTTGTATTTCTCTGCACAGCAGAGAAATACAAAGCAGCATGACTCCCTAGTAAAACAGCACACAGCACATCATGTAAAACAGCACACAGTTATCTCTTTGATCGCCCCAGATGTTAACCCCTTCCTGCCCAGTGTCATTAGTACAGTGTCAGTGCTTTTTATTAGCACTGATCACAGTATTAGTATTAGTGTGATTGTGATGTCAATGGCAGTTAGTCAGTTCCCCCCCAGTGTCAGTATGCCCGCTGCAGTCTTGCTATAAGTCGCTGATCGCCGCCATTACTAGTATAAAAATAAAATAAAAATTCCAGTATATATACCGCCATTTGTAGACGCTATAACTTTCATGTAAACCAATTAATTTACATGTATTGGGATTTTTTTTAACAAAGATATCTAGCTGAATACATTTTGGCCTAAATTTATGAAGAAATTTGATTTTTTTGTAATTTTTTTACCGGATACGGTTCTTAGCAAAAAGTCAAACATATTGGGTTTTTTTCAAAATTGGTTTTTATTTTGTTTATAGCACAAAAAAAAAACCACACAGGTGATTAAATACCACCGAAAGAAAGCTCTATTTGTGGGGAAAAAAGTACATAAATTTAATTTATGTAAAGCGTTGCATGACTGCGCAATTGTCAGTTAAAATAACACAGCACCATATCGCAAAAAATGGCCTGGTCAGGAAGGGGAGTAAATCCTCTGGAGGGCAAGTAGTTAAAGGATAAGTTCACCTTTTGAATTTGCCACTGCTGTGTAATACTCTGCACATGTCTTACATTTCAGGGAGCAAATCTTCTGATTAAATGCACATTTTTTTGCCTGTAAAGCATTGCACCAGCGATCAGTAGATCTTTGCTGCCATGCAGGTCTCCGCAGACCTGTCAGAATATCTGCTTGCCGTATGGGATGTATGAGAAAGCAGATATACTGACAGGAAGCTTCAATGAACTACCATGATGCTCCACAGCGCTGTGGTAGTTCATTGAAAACTACAAGCCCACAGCCGCTAAGGCTATCGGAACTTGTAGGAATTCCTTCACAGAATACTGTGAATGAGTGACACGGCTATGTGGGTGGAGCCCCACACGGCCACGCTGTTTTCAACTCTGACAGATTGTACAGGGAAATTTCTCCCCTTACTATCTCTCGGGGGGGGGGGGGGGGGTGTTTGGGCGCGGCTGCAACAATGGGAACATTTTACGTGTTCCACCATAAATATGGGTGGAACATGTAACATGTTCCAAAGGTGAACTTATCCTTTAGGGAAGTGATATCTCTGAGCAATCCTACAAATGTTTGCTTTTTACTGATGGCTTATTACTATTATCCATCCCATACCCAATTATTGTAAATTTAATGTCATTTGTGACTTGATTTATGTATCACTTAGGAAAGGGAGTAAGCCCAAGTTAGCCTAGGTTCACACATATGCATGTATCGGACCACGTGTAAATTGCACCAGCTCCTGAACTTGCAGACAAAATGTGCTGCTGTTGATTAGACATGCAAGGGAACCATTCATTCTTAATGGCACCCCCACACATCAAAAAAGGCAGCACATTTTGAGTGCACAAAACTGCATGGGAACCATGCGGTTCCCTGTAGCTACCCTGTGGGTGTGTCTTGCAAAAAGGGTCAGGGACTTTTTCCTTGCGTTTCACCTGCAGAAAACATGAAGATGTGAACCTATAACAATGAAAAAAAGGAATGTTACCATAAGGTGGTACTATAGGAACCAATAGCTAATTCCTTGTGCCACATCCCAAAGTACATATGTGATAAATAAATGGAATGAACATGGACTTTATAGGCATGGACACTTCACAAATTAATTTTTAATTAAAAGGTAAGTTTTTTATTAGAATCCTCGCAATTTTGTTAAAATATAGAAAAAGAAAAGAGTATATTTTGGTTGTACACTCTTTTCTTTTTCTCTGTGTTTTAACAAAGTTTCAAAATTGTAATAAAGAACTTATATTTTAAATAAAAATTGTTGTGATGTGTCCGTGTCTGTAAAGTCCATGTGCATTCCATTTATATATCACAAGATGTGAACCTAGACTAAATCAAAGGCCTTACACTTGGATATTTTCATTTCCCATATAGGCCATCTTTATGTTCAATTGAAAGAGTCTAAAGAAAAGTAATATTTTATCTATAAGTGGTGCCTGGTGGATCAAGCCACTACCTTCATGTGTTCCAGCACCTCCTTTGCATTTTTTATATTATAAAGTAAAAAAAATCTAACAGGAGATTGGAAATCCTTGTAATGGCCAGAGCTGGCATGTACACCCAGGAATTCAAGCAGACGTCTTTTTAAAACAGTATTATGGACTTACTTTTTTTCCTCCACAATTATACTTACCTAGGTAGATGCAGCATCAGTCGCCTGCCAGCTATAAGAGTGAAAACTCGGCTATCACGTGACCACTGAGTTCGCACAGTCTGACAGTGACCCCATCACTTCATGAAGATAATCAGAAGAATTGCTCCCTGCAATGTAAGACATGTGCAGAGTATTACACAGCAGTGGCAAATTCCCAAATTTGACAACAGGAGCCAGTAAGCAGTAGCATCCCTGGATTCTGTACATGTTAAATGTCTGCATGCCCCTGTTCCATTCAATGGTTTCTTCCACCAATCCTACATTAATATTGTGATCCCCTGGCAGGAGAAACCACAGCATGTGGCAGGGGAAGCAGGAATTTGACAGTCCCCAAAGACTGTGTCAGGCATTTTAAGTAGGCAGCAGCATGCAGGGCTCAACACCCACCGAAGAGGTAAGTATCTTTAGCCTTCAGCAGGGAAAAACTATTCTGAATATTTTGGTGAAGTAACAGTCTCTTCGGAAGTGAAGAAAACTTTGCGGTTATATAAAATAAATCCCTTCTGTTTGTGTTTCAGGATGATTTAATGCTTGAAGTACCTGGAAAGTATCAACTGCTCCTAAACCTTCCTCTGTTGGTCAATGAGGATTCAACCACTGCCAAATACAACAAAGTAAATGATACTTTGACTGTTAGTATGTCAGTAGCAGACAACTCTGCAGCAGAAAATCAAGGAGTATAACATGGCAATCTTCAAGCGCCACCCAGTGCATAGATTATGGCTGTGTGCAGCAAATGTGGAGGAACAGGAAGAAGCTCTGTCATTCTGGCTTTCTAATGTCTGCAGATTTTGACACACAAGGCAATTTCTTTGGTTTGCACAATTTCTTACCCCAACACATATTTTACCACTGTCAGGTTTTTGTTTTTAAATTATTTATTTAAGGCCTGGTTCACACCGGTGCAGTTTAAATTTTGTGCTTTTCTGCAGTTGTTTTTTACGGTGTGTTTTTTGCACAAGCATTTTTTGAGCTTTTTTTTATGCGTTTTGTGTTTTTCTTATTCATTTTTTTTTTTTTTTTTGAGCCAACTTGTTGCTGGGCAGAACACATAAAAAAATGCGCTACATGCATTTTCTGCAGCGTCTCCATTGAAGTCTATTGAACTAAAAATGTAGCGTTTTGCATCTAAAAATGTCCCTGACCCTTTCCAAAAATGCAGCTGCTCAAAAACACATAGATGTGAACGTGTCCCATAGGAAACCATGTTACATAGACTGTA